TGTCATGTTCGTCTTCCGGTACATCTTCACTCACATCATCGAATTCTGTTTCATCTTCGCCATATTATTACTCTCATCCATAAATAAATAATCATCATCCTTTCGTTCTTGCACCAGCACTAAACCTTGCTGCAGCACGATTTCCATTTTCTTTCGCAAACTGAATGACTTTGCATTTGAACTAGCACTGCTGCGTTGCTTTGTTTGCCAGAAGCCATATTTACTGCTAAAGGCATTCTTACCCCCAAATTCTGTCCTCCTTCTCTAGAAATCATAGAAAAACATTCTCCTGCAAAACTACTTTGAATGCAATCCATCCTCTTTGCAAAATTATTTACTTCTTCAAATATTCTATCCGCAAGTATTGTTCCCCTTATCTCTGTCTTCGAACGTCCGGAAAAAATTTCTCGAATGAATGACTTCTAAAGATAAAAGCATCGCACATGTATCTTTCAGATTTCTTCGTAAAGAAATGGGTGCAAGTTATACGGCGAATATACCTAAAGATTAATAAATGTAGTTTGGGATTATAGGTGCGGGTTATACGTCGGGATATTCGGTATTTCTATTATTAATAAAACCCATTTTACCGTATAGTGCTCTAGTTTACGTGGAATTAGTAATACTATGGCATTCGCAAGTCTTCCAAAACAAAGTCTTTTTAATTCTATTCAGTGCACTGTGCACCACTCCAAACTCAGTTCTTCTTAAAGATATAACTGTCTCCTACATTAAAAAAAATATGTAATAAGGCATTCACTTTTGGATCTTCAAGTCGTTCCCGATCTACTAGTAGGCCAGTGAATAAAACTGTCGAGTGCCGAATTTATGAATCAATTAACCTTAGAAAATCCTCCATGAAGGCAACTCTTCCCTTAGAATATATAACTCTCATCTTCGTTTCCACCTTCAAACATACAGGGCATTTTATCAAAGCGTTTACAGTTTCCAAGTGTTGGTTTTCAAGGTGCTTTGCAGAAAATTTACCAGTGAAATGTCACTGTTTTATTCTTGTATGTGTTTCTTCTGGATGGATGCTATTTACTTGTGGTCTTGGGCAACATTTTATAAGGTATTTTTTCTCTTCTGCCGTGTTGCTTTCCGGATGTAACGGTAGCACATTTGGCGCGTATTCGAGAAGTCCAGGTTTGAGTCGCGGCGACGTCATTACACATTTTTCTCCAGCATAAAACAATCCTAATGATTCTACAGTGGTGCCCGATCAAAAGGTGGTGGATGATAATTCGTCACCACCAAGATTTGGCGATTGGATACCCTCATCCCCAGTCGCCCTTTAAAAAGGTGAGTACGTACGATATTTTCTCCCTCCTTTCTTCATACCTTCGTGGTGTAATCGGAAGCACACTCGATGTGAATTTGAGAGGTCCAGTATTCGAGTCCCGGCGAGGACATTGCTCATTTTTCACGTCTCTTGCTTCAAAATAACGTATTGACGCTACAATTTTATAATAGGTATAGGAAGTTATGCTTAATTTTCGGACCCAAACAGTAAGGTCAAGAAAATCACTCCGTTTTATCATAATCCCATCTCTTTCTGATAAAAATGAAAAATAAGTATGAAAATCTCTGTCACACTCTAAGCCTTTTTAAAGTTCTCTAGTATAGACGTAAGGATCTATGTTTCATAATTCAAACATTAAATACTATTTACAGTCACAAACTGTATATGCTTTATATATATATTATAGCATTTATAACAGACGCGTTGCCTTCGGCTTAACAGATTAGTTCTTTTTTTTTTTTTTTTTTTCTTTGCATTCTCATTCACGAAATTCAAATGTTTTTGAAGAATCAGAAAGTCCACTAGTGGCATAGTGGCAAAGGTATAACCCACTAGCGGCGCTGGTATTTCGATCTGGGTTGATATATCGGCAAATGAGCTACGAAAATTTTCGTGGTTGTTTCCACGTGTAAAGCGCGTATGCGCCTGTTTTCTTCATTTCACGTCAGTAGACGGCATTCAAGTTGCATTGCTTAATTTATTAAGCAAACGTAACCTGAACAGTCCGGATGTCAAAAGCATCACCTAGCGGCTGGCAACGACAACCTCTAGAAACGGCTCACCAGAAGCCGAGCTGTAAAGTCGCTGAACACTGGTAGTTCGATCCGGGGTTCGAATCCCGAGAACGAACTGGTTGCATGGGCGTTTCCGTGTTTTGTCTCATGTGTAATATGTATACGAGTCAGTTTCCCTTAGAAAGTCCTCCACGAAGGCAGATAGCCCTCGAGGCTTTACCTGTAATCACATAAATCAAACCAAACCAAAACCTGTAAAAACTCTGTGTCTGGTCCTTAGCTTTACTTAAGTGAATTCTCACCGTCACGGCATAGAAATACTTTACAATAGTAAAGTTCTTTACTAGACCTGCGTCTTTTTCAAGGTGAAGCAAGAATGACTGTAATAGAAAGGAACTCGATCTTAAACTTGATTTTGAAGCATATTACATCCGCTTAATAATGATTCCTAATTATTTGATTCATGCTCTGGGAATTTTTATTCTGTCCACGTACCACGAAATGTTTCTACCACTTATTAAGAATAATTAATAATCCATGCTTGAAGCAGCGGTTGAAGTGAGATATAAAACATACCGAAAAAGTACAACGTTCTTTCATTTGGAAACAAAAGCATCCATATAAAATATTATTCTATATAGAAAAGAACAAAAGGGAGAGGGAGAAAGGAAGTCAATTAGGAATTCCCTGAATTATAAAATCTGCCTCGACCTTGTCGAGTTGGAACCTCACAACACCGTGACCTACTTTTCGAATCAAAGCTTCATTTTTGAGCATAAAGGCGAAGGAAACTTAACGATTAACCGTGGGCGTTTTCTTTTCTTTTAAAAGATGCACGTTAGCAGATTACCAGAGGCTCAAATCTCCTGTAGCTTGTTTATCAGGGTCGCTCACGAGGAACAAGCAAATGCGCGAGAGTAATTTTTTGGTCTTGCACCACCTGTCATTCAATCGAAGATTTTTACGCTTTCACTTATCTTTTTAAATAATTTAAAAGAAGTTGGGAGTTTAGTAAACCTTGGGGCTTCATACATTATCTTATTTAGTAGGTGTATAACCAGGAAAATAGCAAAACGAACAGAAAGGTTTGGATAATCAATTTGCTTTTTTTTTTTTAAGTGAAGAAAAGAGGATTTTATTTATATTTTTTTCTTTTATTTATATTTTTTAAGGCGAAAAATTATTTTATATTAATTTTGATGTAAATGCTGTAAAACTTCCACAATATCCACTTATTGATATCCCATGAAAAGGAAACGTGCAGTGATTATCCTTTGAAATTGGTTTCTTCCGTCCGCTTTCTTTACGTAGGGTACAAACATACTTTACATATGGCAACAAAACCATGATGCGAATACACTAATCACTGTACCTTTCAGTACTTAATATTTAATTATTATTAATTTAGTATTTAATCATTACATCTAGATAAATCAATCGATACATCTAGATAAATCAATCAATACATCTAGATAAATCAATCAATACATCTATATAAATCAATCAATACATGTAGATAAATCAATCAATACATCCAGATAAAAAGAAACTTCAAATTATATTATTAAAATGTATTTTATTGATTTATTTTGATAAAATTTCTCCAAAAATTTTTGTTACAAGTACAAGAACTTTGTATAGGTCAGAAACATACAGCTTTTTAGAAATAACGTGAATGGGAACACTATCTAGTAGTGGTAACAGTATCTAGTAGTAGTAGAACTTTTTTCGGCATCAAAAATGGCGAATGATGCAAACAAAAAGATTGTTCCAAGAAACACAGATATAGGTTCTACTGAAGCAAAAGCGTACGTAACTAGAGTTCTCAGTGCCCGAGGACAACTGAAGATTTCGTGCCCCCTCCTGTTTTCCTAGAAATAATTTCACTCTAAAATTTCATAACATAAATATGGCGCCCTCTGGATGCTGCAACTGGGGACAGATTTCCCACCTTTCCCTCCCCAGCTACGTCACTGTATTGTTTAGTAGATCACTGGTAGAGAATTCCACGTTTTGATAGAAAATCAAAAATGGAACCTCATCATTTGAAAACAAGTACTCCACTATTGAGCCACAGAGACTGCCTATGAATCTTATTTAAGTAACTAGTGAAGTGTTACATCCACCGATGTTCCCCTTGCTATAATTGGTCGGCTCTTATACCAAGTAGCATAAAGTTGTAAAGTTAGAACACTTAGGCAAAATCCTTAAACCAGTTTTTCTGACTTAGCAAGGTCTGGTTGCCTAGAAACGAAGCTCAGCTTTGACCACTTATGATCATAGACCTTATAAGAAATAGACTAACCCAAACGGGTTTTCTCCCTCGTCTGACGCGTTGCCGGCTGTCACCTTGATCACATCCGGTGGAGTAGGGACGACTTGCAGAAATTTAACATTGGTTGCCTATTGTAGCGTGTATAATTGTCAAGAAAAAGCTGGTTGTAGCGCCTCATTTCACAATTAGAATTTCTACATATTTTTATTTTTGAAATTGAGATTGATTTTTTAAAATTTAGCATATTTATCAAGAATAATTAACGTTCCAAATAATTATAAAGCTATTGCATGCTTTCAGGGCTGGATATTTTTTTAGCTTTTCCTATGCTGTAAGGAAATTTGTAACTACAGTAGAAGTCCGATAATCCGGCACGTTCGGGACCGGCTCGGTGCCGGACTACCGAAAATTACGGTCTATCGGGCGGTAATTATAAGAACAATTAGGTTAATAATTAAACTAAAAATACAGTATGAAAATACATACAACAAAGTTTATTTTACATTTCATATAATGTATGTACACGTACTGTAAAACATATTTCACTTAGATTTAAAAAAGTCACGAATGTCTTTTTGTTTTCTTGACTTTTGGCGTTTAGTATAAAATTTATTTCTAATGATATGGAAATCAATAATTTCTGAAGCACTGTAGCTAGTACTAGCCTCGGCAAAAGAGATAAACTTATTTAGTGATTCTGCAGCTTCTGCCCAGCTGATTTTCTTCCGTTTCTTTTCTTTTCTTCCGTTTCGGCATCTGAGTCATTTTCTTCAAGATTTTGAGTAGGCTGAGGGTTTACTACAATGTTGATAATGTCCTCATCGGTTAGTTCTTGTTCAACAGGCTCATTCTCGTCGATTAAAAGCCACTCCTCTACCTCATCTTCAGGCAGGTTTTTCAAGGGATTGTCAGTACTTCTAACGACATCCAAAACTTTGGTCAGAGCGTCTTGATGGTTTTCTTCCTCATCAGTCTGTAGAGTTAGGTCAGATGCAGGGTTTGCAGCTGGCCAAAGTTTTCTCCAGCATTTTTGGAGTGTTGTATTTTTTACCTGGTTCCAAGACTGTGCAATAGCATAGACGGCATCTTTTACATTAAACGTTTTTTGAAAATCAGTCACGTCACAGTCGGCATTTAACAGGCCTTGAATAAAAGACCTTCTATAAAAGCATTTAAAATTTTGAATAACCCCTTGGTCCATGGGTTGAATCAAAGATGTTACGTTAGGTGGGAGCAGAGTAGCAACAATATTTCCAGAAACTAACTCATCTACTGGCGGATGGGCTTTGCAATTGTCCAAAAGAAGGATGGCTTTAGTATCTTCTGGTAGACCAAGGCTTTTGAAGGATTCCTTGACCTCAGGCACAAGGTGGTGAAAAAACCAGTCTTTAAAGAGGGCGGCAGTTATCCACGCATTTGATTGAGCATCGTATTGGACAGGCAAGTGTGTAACATTCTTAAAAGCCCTGGGTTTTGCAGATTTACCTATTACAAAAGGGGTCACTCGGTGGTTTCCAGACGCATTAGCACATAACAAAACGGTTAATCTGTCTTTGTTTTTTTTAAAACCCTTGGCTGCTTTTTCTCCTCCCCCAGCTAGTGTAGATGTTGGTAAACATCGCCACAATAGCCCTGTTTCATCAGCATTGTAAATCTGTTCAGGTGTTAAATCATTATCAGCCACGATTTTCTCAAACTCGTCTTTGTATTTTTCTGCAGAGTTTTGGTTTGCTGAAAGGGTTTCTCCAGTTACATCAAGTCTTCGAATTCCATGCCGAAAACTTAAAGTTTCTGAGCCAACCATCAGAATAATTACATTCACTTTCAGCAGCACTCCTAAATCTTGGCCGAATTTCTTTGCCTTTTCAACAATCATTGGCCCTGTTACCGGCTTTCCTTCAGAACGTACTGCACTAAACCATTTGAACAATACACACTATCTAGCTGTTCCAGTTTTGGTTTTTTTAATGTTTGTCTAGAAGCCAATTTTTCAGTTGTTACCGATTGAGAAGCAAACTTCATTAGTTCATCTTTTTGTTTTTTTTAATGTCATAAATAGTTGATGAGCCAATATTAAACTCATTCATTAAAACATTTCTATTCTCGCCTTTTTCTAGCCGTTTGATGATTTCTAATTTCTGATTGAGAGTCAGTGTTACGTGTTTTCGTTTCTCTCCTTTTGAACTCGAAGGCTTAGGTTTTGAAAACATGGTCACTGTACAGTTAGAACGAAAATCACTTTTTTTATAAACAGTTTCAAAAGTTACGTTTACTGCGATGTGAAAGGACACAAAACAACAACGCACAAGAAAATGGCGAAGACGCTTCGTGATTGATTAACGGAGCTGCACTGCACCTGAATTTGTTGTGACAGCTGAGACTAGCCGGCCGCTAATTGTTTCCGAACAATACCGAGCGCTTCCGGATGATCTCGAACTACCCCGAAAACTTCCGAATAGCTCTCGAGCGGTTTTATTTGCTTTAAAGACACACTTTTGGAGAAAACCAAAATTTTTACAATTTTCCGGAGCGATGCCGGACTATCGGGCATTCCGGACTGTTGGATGCCGGACTAATGGACTTCTACTGTACTTCTTTTAGAAAATAATATTTTAAATCTGAACTAATAGAAAATTTCAAACAAGCAATTTTTTCTTGCAATTTTTATGCTTTTTATTGGTATAAACAAGTAAAAAGTACTAAAATATTTAAAAACGAATTTTTGAAAGTTTTGTTTAAAATTCTAAATTGTGCTGCTTTTTTTAAAATTATAGATGAGTATTATAGCACAATTTCTATAAAGGAATTTTATTTCAATTATATTTCATAATACATCATAGTGATAAACGTTTTTGACTCCTTAAAAATTTTTATACATTTAATTCTAATATTAAAATTGTATTTAACCGTGATAATTAATTTTGCTTGTATTTTATGATCTGATTATTATTTTAAATTTATTTTTAGTTCTGCATAAGATTTTTTTTATTTACTGTTAATTTAATTTATTAGCCCAAAGCGGGGGTAGCTTAGAAAGGCTGTTAGTTTCGAAGCGGCATTTTGCGCTCTTTTACTATAAGTGTCCGTGTCTCCTTGCAAATTGTTGTTACCAAATATTATCGCCCTGTATTATATGTAAAGAAATTAAATAATGAAGAATTGCATGAATACATGTATGTTTCCAGTATCTAGAGCCGTCAGTTTTTGAATAATGTAATCCTCCACCTTAACATGGGCATCTGGACGGCCGAATTTCGAATTTGTTTTAATCTATTTCATATTTTGTAAAACTTTAACGAATTTTTGATTAACAAACTCAAAGAGTTCAGAGCGAGCACTGTACGGAAAATAACAGTTTTATCTCCAGTGCGGGAATTCTAAAGATATGCTGTTTTCAAATGTATGTGGTTTACGGGCGAAGAACATGATTTCAATAAATAAAGGTAACACACAAAACTTTAAAAAAAAGGTTCCTTTTGGGCGTAATATAAAATATGAGTGCTTATAGATGTTATTTTATCTTTTCTTTTCCCTTCATTCCGCTCAGAAAATTTTATGCTCCGAATTTTATAAATTATTAAAATAACTAATCCATTTTAATGTTAATAATTTAACGATGATATAATCAAATAAATATGACCGTTTTGTAATGTTATTATACTTTGGAAAATCACTGCCTGAAAATGTTCATTAAATTTAAAAAAAATATCAGATCTTGCTTAATTTTACCTTATTTATTTCAAAGCATCACGTACTATCAATCTTATTTAATTTTACTTTATTTTTACGCAAAATTAAGTTCATAAATTTTGTGCTTAGAGTTTTTACCGTTTTAACCAAAGTAAAGATGTTTGTACAAGAATTACGCGTGAAAAAAATGCGCGAAATGCAGTAAAAAGTGCTTTAATGAGATATATTAAATCCTATTTGGAAAAAACTGTGGCTTTCATAATCCTCATCACTATACAACGTATCACATTTAATAATTAAAAAGAGTTATGTGATACGAACGCCATAGGTTTCAGTGTTAAAGTAAACCAGATCGTCCCTACTCTTTCTTGCCGACATGTCGGTGACGCGCGCCCCGCCCACTGGGTTAGTCTATCTCTTATAAGGTCCATGCTTCTGATTTTCTGACGTAGCAAGGTCTGGTTGCCAAGCAACGAAGCTCAGCTTTGACCACGTATGATTTTAAAACCATAGCGTGAATGAACCTTTATACTTAAGTAGGAACTCGTTGAAAGGAAATCGTAATGCATGTCAAACATTTATTTTTGATAGCCACTTACACCAGTTAAAATTTCGAGTGAAAAGTTTAATTTCATCAAAAGAAAAATGAAGATAATTAAGAATTAAATATCTTTTTGCATAAAATCCATGCCATATTTCATGTTAAGTTCATTTATTCGTAGTATTCTTAATATTCGTCTCGCCTCGTTCTCACCCTCATCAAGTTTGTAAATACAAAATTTAAATTCCCCCCCCCTTTATCTGAATCTATAAGTCTCCACAAAAATATCTTGAATAATATACCATGTTTAGACAAAAAAGAGATTCATTTAAAAATGTAATATGTCTTTCTTTGTATTATAGTAAGTTCATAAAATAGTTCCTAAACAGAGTGTATTACAGTATTATTGCAATAAAACAATATAGAGGTAATTAATATTTTTGAAACGTTTGTAGAGATATTAGGTTATTTTTTGGATGCAGGCAAGATGAAAAACATGCAACGCCTTGGCCGGGAATCGAACCGCGGACCTCTGAAATTCGCGCCCAACTGACAGACCACCACACCACGAAGGCATGCCAAGAAGGCGGGAGAAATACCTTATACATTATATAGTAACAGTTATATATTTATTAGTTAAAAGGGTCTTTAAGAGAAATTTAAAAAAAAGTATGGAGTTGGAGGTATGTATTGTTTTCAATTCGCGGATTTCGTGTGCTGGCAAAGTGTAAACTACTGTCATAGAAATATTGGTTGCAAGCCTCATTTGCAAGCGGTCCAGGAAAATAAACTCCCAGTTACTTTATGGGCAATTACATTTTTTAGATGACGGGAAATCATAAGAAACTATTTCTATCATTTTTAACAGCTAGTTTTAAGTATAAGATTTTATATTTCACATCTTTTATTTCTAAGAGTATGATTTTTAAACTAGCAAATATATCGCAATTGCTTGGTTTGAAATCTTTCAAGTATTAAACTGGAAACAGCATATCAAAATAAAATTGCAGTTCTTTTTATCTTAGGAATTTTATATTTTTAGTATTTAATTTTTTTAATATTTTAAAATTTTACTGTTAAATTCTTCAAGGTGTGAGAGCGTAATTCGATGTTTTTCGACTCCATATTGTTTTGTTGCTGTTTTCGTCTCAACGTCTTTGCAAGATTTTACAAGTGTTATTTTATGCCTTCATTGTCATAAATAAAACAATTTCTAGCAAGCTACAAGACAACGAATTTTTAACTTGTGCACTAATTATTCCCTCTGCCCCTAACGAAATTAAAAGATTGCGACGAAATTTTATAGCAACGCACAGACCTGAAATCTTCTCTACATATTTCTTTTTTAACTTTATTCAAATGGTGATATCTAAAAAATATTTTAGTATCCTGGTGGGGTTTGTTTCAATTTACATTTTATATCAAAAACGAGATTCAGAAACTAGCAATAAAAATTATTTATGAACTGGGAAAAATACATGTTATTAAAAATAAATATTTCTATGATTATTTCATGACTTTTAATTACAAATTTCTTTAAAGGTAAATGTTTCGCCTATGTATTCGATTGTAATTTGAAGATCTCATATTGGAATTTTCGTTTTTATACCTTCAAAAGGATGTTTTTTTCTGTTAAAATGTATGATTTACGTCCTGATAAATAAAATCTAGACACGATTCAGTCTCCGAAACTTACAGACGAAGAAAAGACAGAACCTAAAAGTAGCATTTAAGATCACTCATCTCCGAAAATGTTATCACTGGGTGAATACTTATGAAGTTTTTACGTACTGCAAATGGCAACCAAAATTAACTTTATTTCATCAGTTAAAGAATTTAAACAAATTTGTTATCATTTCTGCCATTTTTCCTACAGAAACCATCTTCGAAATAAAAAAAAAAAACATTGCAAGATAAAGGACGAAAGAACTTCGTTTTTCTGGACCTAAGGACTCCCGCAGCTCGACAATCCATCAGCATTTACTACTTCCTCGTTACTTAACGACCCTCATCCTATGGATTATGCGGAAGACAAAACTTGAGCTCGTGCTGTGAGTGATATTTTGCTTCAACGACTTTGCTCTCCTAATTTTGAGATTTAAAAACACGCTGATTTCCCTAGCAGTACTGCCCAAATATGTAGTTTGGACACATTTATCGTTGTTCTTTTATGTTTGGTTTCTTGCTCAAGAGATTTCACTGTACAGTTTACAAAAAAGTTACGATTTTTATTGAGGTTAGGAACATCTTTCATTGGGTCTTTCCAAAATTTTTGGACTGATATTACGTTCGTTACGTTATCATACGTTAATTATGTTTGCAATATTGCAAGTATTGCTATTGTACGAACCATAAAATCTTTAATTTATCTTTCGTCTGACCTTGCAAAAAGCGAAAATTCTCAGAGTGCTGCCATTCGAAAAAGCGTAATACTCTTAATGTTACTTTGAAATTTAATCAAGCTATAACTGATTAGCAAACTGAGTATTTAAAAACCATAAACTTACTTTTTAGTAATATAAAGATTTATTTTCCTTTTAAATAATATATCTAATTGACGTAATTTAAAATGCATTTAATTCTCAATAAATAGAATCTATACATTTTATGAACATTTGTAGTGATAATAACAAATGTTTTTTAAC